TGGTCGCTAGGAAAGTGAGAAAGAATAGGGGGAAATAAGTAAAAGAGCAAGAGATAGAGAGAGAAAGAGAGAAAGATCGCGCCCGGACATAAATTATACTTGTTGGAGTGGTTTTCGTTCGTAGATTGAGATAAAAGCGGGGCACTAAAGTTGGATCCCAATTGTATTAAGTTAAATCCCGTTTATTGATTTCGCCTTGCGTTCTTATTTTTTCATCCTCAACGGAAAGCAAAGAAGGAAAAAAAGAATTGTAAGATCTCATCCACCTGCCGATATCATATCAGTTATTAGAGCGAGGGTGGAAATGGGAATCGGGGTTGCGGGGTGGAATTATGAGCGGTTAAGGTGCCGAGACACGTGCGATTTCTATCAGTTCCAATTAATAAAACAACCCTCAAGAAAAACGCATTTCACATAACAAGAGTTTCTTTATTGTTATTTCATATCGTAAATACAATATTAGTAATATGTTTAAATTATACCAAAAGATGGCGTAGTTGTAACTGTCAAAAAAGAAATGCTAAATCAAACGAAAAGATGGCGTTATTACACTTATTTCATTAAATTTTGTCAGGTTAAATGTGTCGTGCTCTAAGTAAGATTGACAAATAACTATGATTTATGATTTTCTATGATAACAAGAGTTTCTTTATTGTTATTTCATATCGTAAATACAATATTGGTAATATGTTTAAATTATACCAAAAGATGGCGTAGTTGTAACTGTCAAATGCGAAATGCTAAATCAAACGAAAAGATGGCGTTATTACACTTATTTCATTAAAATTCTTCAGGTTAAATGTGTCGTGCTCAAAGCAAGATTGACAAATAACTATGATTTCGGTTTCGGAAAATGTTCCGTTCCATTTCTTCCTGCAAACTTCCCGATCCATCCGCTATCGCATTTCAGGGACATAAATTTGACTTTGAGCTTTGGACGCAGCGAAATCCGTGGCGTGAGCTGGAATAAATCTTCGCATTCTATGCGAGTTTGTGTGTGCAGCCCTTAAAGTTGCGTCGATTAAGGGATCTTTCCTAACACCCACTCCCTCCCAAGAAAATACACCCGTTCCGAACATCGCCTACTTCAAATCCTACCCCCGATTTGCGCAAGAACTTTAAATTTTCTGTTTCTTCGTTTATTATAATTCTTTGTTTTGCAGACAACTTTCCCGTTTTTAATGAAAACTCCAGCAGCCGATAATTACCCGTCGCCGCCACAAATTTGCGTTCGGATGAAACAAATTTTCACGAACATTAAAACGCACTTAAAGTTTTAATCAGATTTGGCTCCGTCTCGTCTTCGTAATTTGAATAAATCCAAAAAAATTGACGTTTCGGTAATTTCCTAAGGAGACAGAAATAGGGCGAAACTGATTACGCTATAAATCTAGTGGGCATTTACTCTGATTCTTTTTTGTTTTACTTGTGTATGTGTGTTTAGGGGGTCGAGTATCGGAGGGATCAACTGGTCCTGAATTCGAGACTAACGAACCGTGAATTTTACAATCGACAGGAAGGGAGAACACAGAAGTGAAAAAAAAAAGTATTGAATCAGACCAGTTCGATTTCGTGCGTGAAGAAAGCTTTCAGTTTTTTTTTGATGCATCATTTCGACTGTAAACCAGATTTAATTTAGGATAAATATTTCGATTTATTCATACGAATAGATCCTATTTTATGATAGTCCATTTCAGAAATATAACAAATTTGATGAAAAAAAAGTCTGGTCATTTTTCATAAGAAATAAAATCAATAGATTTATTGTAAAATCACATAATATTAAAACTTAATACTGTCCTGAAACTTAAAAAAGATAATGTTTGTAGTTAAAAAAACAAAAGTTACTCTTTTATAATCTAACCTAAATTTACCCTAACCTAACATTTTTTTTTGTAGCATTTGTCCAATGATCTTAATACTGTCCTGAATCTTAAAAAAATAATGTTTATAGTTAAAAAACAAAAGTTTCTCTTTAATAATCTAACCTAAATTTATCCTAACCTAACATTTTGCTTTGTAGGATTTGTCCCATGATCTTAATACTGTCCTGAAACTAAAAAAAAATAATGTTTGTAGTTAAAAAACTAATGTTTCTCTTTCATAATCTAACCTAAATTTATCCTAACCTAACATTTTGCTTTGTAGCATTTGTCCAATAATTTTAATACTGTCCTGAAACTAAAAAAATAATGTTTTTAGTTAAAAAACAAAAGTTTCTCTTCTATAATCTAACCTAAATTTACCCTAACCTAACATTTTGCTTTGTAGCATTTGTCCAAAAAAGGTCAAATCAATTCCTGAAACTAAAAATTATAGTTTGAAATTTAAAAAAAAATACACTTATTCTTTGAGAACCTAACCTAAACTAAAAAACAAAAGTTTCTCTTTTATAATCTAACCTAAATTTAGCCTAACCTAAAATTTTGCTTTGTCAAATTTATCCAAAGAAGGTCAAATCAATTCCTGAAACTAAAAATTATAGTTTGAAATTTTATAAAAATAGACTTTTTCTATGAGAACCTACACTTTGATGAAGCTAACCTATACTAAACTAACCTAACCTTACATTTTTCTTTGCATTATTTGTCCTGATTCATGATTTGCAGGATTCTAATTCTATTGTTTTTAATACTAAATTAATTAAATTACGTTAAAAATATACAACTTGTTTTTTTTATATGGACATGATATGAAAAAATTATATATTTTCAACGTTGGTAAAATCCATCACTAAATTTCCATAGCAACGCTTGTACACTGTAAATGCGGAAAGAACGAGTCTATATTGTTTCATGAGCTGACAGTAAATGACAATGACAGGTATAAACGAACAAATGAACTGCGCAGATTTTAACGAATTTTTACAACACTTTATGTAGAGCAGATATTTCAGTTTGCCGTTCACTTTATTACATAAGGTGATTGAAAGCCTTCATAAAAAAAATCTATTCAATTGAATTTCGCACCTGCTTTTGTTTGGACGTCCATCAAAAACGTTTTACCACTTTTTTTTTATATTCATTTACACCTTTCAACAGAGGTCTCTGACCTTCCAATCGATTAGTTATGCAATCCTATTACTTTTATAAATGTACAGAGAAAAGTATATACGATATGATTAAGACAGAACGTCTAGACGCTACAGAATTTGTTGGTGGAAATAGTTTTTCCCTAGAGCTCGGAAAACCCCTAAACACTTAGTAGAGGAAATCCTCGTCCGGTGTTAATTTAGTGAACTCCCGTTTCTGGAAAAGTTTATTTACTTATTCTCATTTTTATTATTTGTAACCTTCTTCCTCTACTTCTTCCAGTTGGACCTTTGCTTTGCTTTCGTGCGGTTGGAAGATGGAATGAGTGAAATTCGCAGCGAGATTCTGTGATTCCGTGGCCGAGCTTGAATGCAATTACTTCCGACCAATTTCCTTCCGCAGTCGAGGGCTGAAGTGAGGTGGCTCAGCAGGAGACGTCCGTGGATTATTCCAAGCGAAACCCCCAGACATTGTAACCGCCGGAATTTCAGCTGCTGCTGAGATTTCACTGTTGTTAGTTTATTTTATTTCAGCGAGCCAAAATCAATTTTGCAGTCGGCCGTGCTTGCATTTTGTTTTCTTCTTCTATCATTTTTATGTTTTTTTTTTGTTGGGAAAAAATAAAATGCGCTTCTTTTCATTCATTATTTTCCACTATCTACAATCATCTTATTACATCTTCCATTCAAACATAATGAGCCTTTCGTGCATTATCTTTCCATTATCTATCGAAACAGAATGCAACCCTCCATATAGTGAACACTCCTGACCTCTATTGATCAAATCTGCAAAAAAAAAATCTTTAAAAATAAACCAATATTTTTTTATAATTTATACACGTCGATTTTACATTTCAATCACGTTCAATCTGTCAGTTAAATTTTTAAAAGGAAATCTGTCGATTTAGGGCATAAATCTGATAAATAAGTTAAAAGTGTATAAATTCACGTTACGTGTGGATGCGCCGGGTAATCTCTAGAATTCCATCAATAATTTCTCTAGAGGTTTTTTAAATTAAACTTACAATTCATGTATAATCTCTATTATTTGATAAAATTTAAAAAAAAATTGGTATAAAGATTTGAAAAATTGGTTTATAAAGTGTCATAAAAGAACTGTTATTATTTAGATTTTAAATAAATTTTAAATATAATAATATTTATACCAAATTTATGTTACATAATAAAATTAGATAGTTCAAGATGTACGAAAATTGAAGAAAATTTAATATAATTTTATCGAAAATATAATTACAGCAAATTAAAATAGTAACGTTTCTTTTATGACAATTCTGTTGTTATTAGCTTAAATTTTTTAATGAAGGTTATATCTATTAATATAACACTAATTGCTCTTTATACATTACATAAAATACGTTGATTGTAACTTAAAATGTCACGATAATTAACAGCAAAAGTAGTTTTTTGCAGTGTCATAAAAGAAGCGTTATTATTTTTATAGTTTTGAAATAATGGAATTGAATCGTTCAAAATAAAATAGTAATAGTTACTTTTATGATAATTATGTTGTTATTAGGTTAAATTTTTTAATGAAATTTATATCTATTAATATAACACTAATTGCTCTTTATACATTACTTAAAATACGTTGATTATAACTTATAATGTCACGATAATTAACAGCAAAAGTAGTTTTTTTGCAGTGTCATAAAAGAAGCGTTATTATTTTGTTTTGAAATGATAAAATTGAATCGTTCAAAATAAAATAGTAATAGTTACTTTTATGATAATTATGTTGTTATTGGGATAATTTTTTTAATGATCAAATACTAATAGTTCTTAACAAGTAACATGAAATACGCTAATTTTGATGTTTTATAAAAAATTGTGAATTTTACAGAGATAAAAGTAAGCTGTTTTTCTAAGTAACTGTGTGTCATTGAAAAACAAAACTGCTTGACAACAAAGTTGAAGTTAATATAGAAAGTACTTTGTCGTTGTTTGTAAGATGAGTTACAAGAGTGTCGGTGTGCACAGATGCAGTTTGAGGAAGAATTCTGACAGTGGTTTGTCAAAGCTTTCGCCAAGATCGAACGCTTTATCGAAACTGTGGAGACATCTTCGAAAGTATTTCTTACCTAGCTACGCTCATTACGAAACGAAATACCATTTCAAGAGCAACGTTTCGCTGAAGATGGAGAAGATCCGCATGGCAAAGAACTTCCCTTCGTACGTGATCCATCCTTTCAGCATCCTGAACATCTGCCGCGAAACGATGATGCTTCTCGTGTGGTTCGATCGGTACTTCATCAACATCTACATGATGTGCTTCCTCTTCACCAACAACAAGGAGATGGGCCTCTTCATCTCGATCATTTCCATCGCGTGCGATCTCGGCTACTTCGTGCACATCTGCATGATGTTCATAACCGGTTTCACGCTCGACAAGCACATCTACTTGGAGCCACGTAACATCGCCGGCAAATACATCTTCAGCTACTTCATAATCGACTTCATAGACTTCTTTCCGACGAAGAGCATATGCAAGTTGATCAACCCGAACATGATGGAGCTGCAGGACGCGAAACTCGCTCTAATACATTTCGTCAGTTTGCTGAGATTGAAAACGTTCTGCCAATACTTCAGGCACACTTTGTATCTGCTGAAGGTGCCGAAGAAGATGCATCGACTGCTCATATTCGTGGAGTTGATCTTCATGATGGTGCATTGGTTCGCCTGTTTGATTTACGGCGTACCGAAATTCCTCTACTCCCAATACGACACCGACAAGATCCCGCACTCGTACATGGCCAAAGTCCAATTTATGAAACGCAACACGCTCGAGAAGTACATCTTCTGCATCCACAAAGTCATGTGCCATTTCTATAAAAGCGGTAGAGGGATTTACGGGACAATACTCATAGAAGAGGCTATTATCTACACGTTCGTTCTGGTCATAGCAAACGCTTTTCACATCTACATAACAATCTACATTCTGGAATGGTTCAAGATGATGTGCAACCCCGAGAACAAGTTCGCTATTAAATTGGCGCAGCTGAACGATTATTTGACTATGAAGAACTGCAACGTTCATCTGAAGTATCGAATAATGTTGCATTATCATCACAAGTTTCAGAGCAAGTATTTCCAAGAGGAGAAGATCTTGAACGGACTCTCCGAGCATCTACAGCACGAACTGTTCTTACACAACTGCGTGCACATCATCTCGCACGTGAACATGTTCAAAGGTCTGCCGAAACACATCGTCGGTCACGTCATCGCCGTTCTTCAACCGGAGATCTACCTTCCCAACGACATGATCTACAAGAACGGCGACGTCGCCGACTGCATGTACTTCATCTCGTACGGTCTAACAGCATCCTACACCGCAGCTGGTAACGAGATCATGCACTCCGAAGACGGCGATCTCATCGGTTGCATCGGCTTCAATATGGGTGTGCACAATCAAACGGCCGTCGCCATAGACCTGACCGAGACCTTCAAATGGCACAAGAAGGACATCCTCGCCTCCACGTCCCTCTACCCTGAACTGATGTCTCGCATCCTGAAGATCGCCGAAGAGGTCCAGCAGAAATCCGACAACGTCGACTACAATCCGGATCGCGACGAGAACTACCTGAAACTCGTCGGCAAACGGAGAGTCGTCGAAGATCTGATCAAAAGACCCACTTAAACCCACATCAATCTCTAGATTGTGCAGAAACTATTCCTTTATCCCACTTTAAATATTGTTTATTCTTTATTACTTAGTTTGTTCTTCGCGTTTCTCATGTCGGATTTAAATAAAGAGCGTCGAAATTGAAAAAGTTTTTTTATCTTAAGTTTCCCGCGCGACAAGGATCATCGATGCGAATAATATGAAAGATCGCCGATGGGATTCAACTGTTTTTCTCTCTCTTCTTTTTATTCGCAAATGTCTCCAGAGCAAAAACCGAAACTTTACTTTGTAAAACAATTATGAAAACTTTTATTCTATTTCAATTACTTTTCCTATAAAGATTAATTAAGTTATGAAAAATTTATAATTATGTACAGTTAATTACTAAGTCCACTCGCATAATTCATCTTAATCCTATTGACCAAACACTAATTACCGCTATTAATCAACAGATAAACCTCTAATCTCAATAAGTAAATCACTCTTTTTTTTTTTAATCATCTATTGCATCTTGTTAATTATCGTCACGCATCAGCAATTATTTTAATTGGCGCCACCTGTTTGCGATCAGGTAATTAATTTTCGCGTTCTCAAATATTTGCGGCGAATGATTTGCATAATGTACGCGAGACGGGCAAAGGGAATTTAGTAACATTTCGCCAACGAATCAATAGCAAACCGCAAACTTGTCCCAATCGCAATTAATCTTCGACCCTAATCCGACCCTGCACAAAACAGTTGATCTGCGAAACGAAATAAACGAAATAGTTAATTCTAGATGTACTTTATTAATATAATTATTAAGTAAATGAGCATAAAGACTTTGAATCTATAAATACACTTTTTCTTTTAATTACTTAATTAATTGTTACCTCTAATTAATACTTGAAGTAAGATATAGACAGCCTCGATTTTTTTTAATAGAATTTTCTTATATAAAAAATTAGTAAACATTGAATGATTTCGATAAAAATATAGTTTATTTTCTACGTTTGTTACGTGTATCACAAAAAAAAACTGCGAACGTAGTTTATTCAATAAATTGGAACGGATTAGAAATTAATAAACGAAAGCTATCGCTGTTGTTGCAATATTAAAACTATAGTTAATTCTAGATGTACTTTATTAATATAATTATTAAGTAAATGAGCATAAAGACTTTGAATCTATAAATACACTTTTTCTTTTAATTACTTAATTAATTATTACCTCTAATTAATACTTGAAGTAAGATATAGGCAGCCTCGATTTATAATAGAATTTTCTTATATAAAAAATGAGTAAACATTGAATGATTTCGATAAAAATATAGTTTATTTTTTACGTTTGTTACGTGTATCACAAAACAAAACTGCGAACGTAGTTTATTCAATAAATTGGAACGGATTAGAAATCAAATTGAGCCGTAATTTTCTTGTTGTTCCCTGAATTAATAGGTAAAAGATAAATTTTGGTTGGTCGATGGAAGACACGCTTTTTTTTACTACTACTACAACTGCTGCTACGTTACGTTCGAGCTATATGGAATTGAAAAGTGTTTTGAGCCGGTTGTGTGTTGAGCTTAGCTTTTAAACTCGAGACCTCTCAACGTCACTTGCATCGCCAGTTTGGTGGAATACAGCGAATTATACTCCATCATGTTCCAAAGAGTGGCCATCACCAAGGTGTAGCACATCGCGAGCGTCAGAAGGACTCTGAGGACGTGGAAGAGGCCCGGCAAGGGTACAGCGAAGCAGAAGGTCAGGATCAACGCGGTGAGTAGAATCAAGGTGGCTATCCAATAGAAGATCTTGTGTCCCTTCACAGATATCATCCCTTTCGTTAGGGCTTCGATGCCATCGTTGAGCACGTCCTGGCGACAGTCCAAGCTAATGCTGCTCAAATCAATCTCGTTCTTTTTAATGATTATAGTCGACGTAATCGCTTCATGATCGGAATAACTGAATCTCTTGTTAGGTACTAGTTCTGGCAAGGGCTGCAGATATTCCTCGAGGATGGCAACAGTGCTAGGACCTGCCCTAAACAAAACGTAATCTATCCTCACTCCCGGCAGCTGCTTCTTGATCAGAGAGGACGGAGTGTAACTGTTCTTCAAATCCAGATTCGTGCTGAACTTCTCCACGTTCTCCTTCTCCAGCATCGAATCCCTCAATTGCGGCAGCGAAGTCATAATTCTAAACAATCATCAATATAAACTAATAACAATCTGATATTGATTAATTGAACAACAAACAACCTGTAAGGCAAATCTCCAGGTTCGGTGTTCAAATCCCCAGCCAAAACGACCAAATCCGCTCCCGGCGTAGTCAACTGTATGAATTGAGCGGTCTCGTAAGCTTGGACAATGCGACACGAGTAATACTCGTCGCATTTTCTATTGTATTCAGCATGCAACTAAACGAAATCAAATTAAATGAAATTCACCAAATCAGATAAACCACTCACATGAGTCGAGTAAACATTGACAATGTAATCGTGGAACTTGATCTTGCAGAGAGCCACCCCCTTGCCACCAAACCAATCGCCGTGATGGACCTTATGCACATATCCATTGATCACCCACTTGTGAAAATGAGTATCGATGATTGGATGTTTAGTGAATATGCAAACACCAGACCCAACAACGCCACTATCAATTAAAAACAATTAAACTAAAAAAAATCCAATAAGATTAAATCACCTGTAGAAGTAGTGAGATTGTGGCAACGTCCCCTTCACCTTCTCCTGGATTAAAAAAAAGTCAGCATCGGACCAAACCTCTTGCAAGCAGACCACATCGTATGTACTGTTCGCCAATGCTGTGGCAATCGCCTCCATCCGTTCCTTCCTATCTGCAGACACCATCGGAATACCCCTAATACAAAAGAATCAACAATAAAACAAATAGTAAAGAGATTTCATTCATTTACCAGCAATTTAACGTGAATATTTTGAATTCCATTCCTTATTTTCAAACCTACACTAAAAACACAAAGAAAAATAACGAACGTGGTTATGTTGTTTTGACACAGCAACATATGATTCTGACAGTTAATTGTCTTATTATAGGCAACCAAACTTACTTGGGAATTTCTTTGAAATCTTAACCATTATTGATTTATTTACTTAATATAATAGCATCTTAAAATAAACAAATAAAACTGCTATTATTAGTCCATTATGTAAATGTTTACGTATATGCACTAATTATTAAGTTTTGAAAAATATGATAATTATAATAGTTTTCCTATACGATTTGATACTTTCTTGTCTTTCGTTTTCAATTAAACAATAGATTGAAATGTACTATAATTTGTTACTATTGAATATTGGCTGAATTATGTAACAAAGTAATGAAATTGTAATAGTTTGAAGTAATTATACCTAAATTAATAATAGAAATAATCGTGTTTCTATAATAGTATCAGAATATTCAATAAAAAATCAATAACACGGAAATGCCATCTGTTTAATTGCTTTGAATTATGTAATATTAATGAATTAAGCGTGAACTGTTGTAATTTTATGTTTCTGCTTCAAGCAGATATTAGTTGTAAATAATAATTTTCAATTAAGACAGGAAACAGGAATTGATCCATTAAAGGAAATTGAATGGGAAAAGTTGTTTTAAATTGCGTTTTGCGCGCGTAAATTCGAATCTGGCCCATCCCTTTGCCATCTGGTCGAATCCTATTGGTCGTCGCCTCGCGACTAACTTCAATGACATCGTATTAATTGTCAAAACGCACTCAGAATTTGATCCGAGTGTTGTGTTTATCCATCGAAGAAGAACGGACGAAAGAATCTCTTCAGAACACAGATGCCAGGCGCTCTGTACACGAGAGAATCAACGTTGCAGTAGGAAACGTTTCTTCGGTCAAAGGTAAACATTAATACCTGTAATTTTTACCTATTTTATTCGTGTACATGAATTGAGGGCATTTGTTTTAAGGTTATACTCGGTTAATTAAGTTTAGTCGTTCGTTTGTCCAGGTGTATCAAGGATAATTTGATTATAGGGATTCAGGTCGACGAAACAGATTTTACCAATGAATCTAGAATCGAAGGATACGTTAATTAAATTATTCATTTTTTTCTTCCAGTGAGAAATCGATAGTCGCGTATTAATCATCATCATCATCAACGCCGGTTACGTGTTTCATCATCTCCTTTAGAAACATCATCTCGTGCCTAATTTAATTTGTTGACATTCCTTATCGCGTTCACGTTTGTTTGCTGCCGGACTCACAATTGTCGTATCTTTTATTGCAGGAGATATATGAGTCAACAAAGATGAAGTGCTACAGTCTGTGTTTGGTTCTTTCGTTGCTGGTGATATCGAACGTTTCGTCGCAAGAAGCCGACGAGTTTGTGAGTATACGTTGAATACACTTGTGAGTCATCATGAGCATTAATTGTATTTAATCAGGAAGTGGAGCCTGATGAGGTGGCTAAGGTCGAGGAAGCGGTAGATTCGGAGTACCCGTACATCAGTCCAACTCCGCTCGATCCATCCAGAGTTTACATCGCTGATCACTTCGACGATGTGGAGAAGTACCAGAAGCTGTGGATCAAATCTCTGGCGAAGAAGGAGGGAATCTCTGAGGAAATCGCCAAGTACGATGGCGTTTGGGATTTGGAAGCGCCGCAGCGCGACGGTCTGTTCGGGGATAAAGGTCTCGTGTTGAAGTCGAAGGCTAAGCACGCCGCCATCGCGTCCAGACTCATCAAACCGTTCACTTTCAACACGAAACCTTTGATCGTGCAGTACGAGGTCACGTTCCAAGATGGTCAGGAATGCGGCGGAGCTTACATCAAGCTTCTCAGCGACGGAGCGGACACCAAAAATCTGATCCAATTCCAAGACAGGAGTCCGTACACTATCATGTTCGGACCGGACAAGTGCGGTACCGATCACAAACTTCACTTCATCTTCCGTCACAAGAACCCGAAGAACGGCACCGTCGAAGAGAAACACTGCAAGAAACCGAAAGAACGTTTGGAGGAGGTTTTCACCGATCATCTGCCACATCTCTTTACTTTAGTCGTCAATCCGGATAACACCTACGAAGTGCTGGTGGACAAGAAGGTCTTCAACTCTGGTAGCCTTTTCGATGATTTCACCCCACCGGTTAATCCTCCGATGGAAATCGACGATCCTTCTGATAAGAAACCCGAGGATTGGGATGAAAGGGAGAAGATCCCGGATCCGGAAGCCGTTAAACCAGAGGATTGGGATGAGGATGCTCCAGCTCAGATCGTCGATGAGAATGCCGTTATGCCCGATGGATGGTTGGAGTACGAAGCTACGCATATTCCAGATCTTAAAGCTTTGAAACCTGCCGATTGGGATTCCGACATCGACGGCGAATGGGAGCCACCGCTCATCGATAACCCTGCTTGCACCGACGTTTCCGGATGCGGTAAATGGGAGCCACCGCTCATCAACAACCCAGAATTCAAAGGCAAATGGAAAGCGCCTCTGATTGATAATCCCAACTATAAGGGCAAGTGGAGGCCTAAGATGATCCCCAATCCGGATTACTACGAAGACAAGAACCCATTCAAGATGCATACCATTGTAAGTATAATTCAATATTATCATCAATTCAAACATAAAACTCTATTTTTGTAGAGCGCTGTCGGTTTTGAACTGTGGAGTATGTCTGAAAACATCCTTTTCGACAATATCATCATCACAGACAGCATGGACGTAGCAGATCAATGGGCGGCCGAAACCTACGTGCTGAAGAGAGCCAAAATCAGCAAAGAAGCGGTAAGTTATTTACACTTATTTCCGTTGTTTATTGACATTTTTCCAAACAATACTGTGAGAAATTTTATATAAGGGGGCGTTCATTGCGAGTTTACATTTTGTCGATTTGCAATCGACAAAGGTATAATATATGTTTTCAATGATGGATTTAGGTGACGATGTGGGGTCGAATGATGAAGTCGATGAATTACAGACCGAAAGCGTGGGCTCTGTACTTCTTGTACTGCTCCATACCGTTTATTTTTTACATCTGGTATCTGTGGTTTTGCGTCAAAGAGGTATCTCTTCATCCACTTAGGCTAGAAGAGTGTATCCACCTGTAGATTAGTTTTGTAGTTCGCTAGTTAAATATGCGTATTTAATATCATTAGGAGAGCGTATTCGAGAAGTTGGCTACCTACACTAACGAGCACCCAATGATGTGGCTCCTCTACATCGCTGTCCTAGTCATTCCCGCTGCTTCCATCTTGTACCTTTGCTGCAAGGGCGGTAACAGTAAGGTAATTTATACAACATCGATCACGTTTTAGGTTGTCGCTTCGAATATTTATTAATATTTGTTTATGTAATGTTAGGAGAAGGAGGAGGAAACGTTGCAGGACAACAAGAAAAAGACTGATGCCTATACGGCTGATGACGATGTGATAAGGGAGGTCGAGGAGGAAGAGGAAGATCCGGAAGCCAAGCCCGAAGAGGATGAAGAAGAGGCAGAGGCGGAAGAACCTTCGGAAGAAGACGACAGAGAGAAATTCTCAGGAGACGACGACGAAGAGGAGGAGGAGGAACAAGTCGTAAGTCTAAATTTACAATAACATTATTTAGGTTAAATGGATTAAGTGAGATTAATTCGTTAAAAAAAAATTACAATCTAGTATTTCATAACTGTAACAACGCGTATAGTATTACAAAGATATTATTTAGTTTAAAATATTTTTTTTGTTCAATTTGCAGACGCCAAAGGAAAAGGAGGCGCCCAGGAAGCGGAAACCACGCAAAGAGTAATTTAGTATTCTCAGTTACCTTCGATTAGCACCTGTTTATTATTAGTAATGTTTTTGTTTCATGTTTTTTTTTTTCTTTCTTATATATGATTTTATTCATCTCTCGTTCATACTTTCGTTTCTTTTTTTCCACTCTAGTATTTAATCTTGTCCTTTCTTGTTTGATTCTTTTTTTATATATAAATAGAAAATGTCCTTTCTATCCTGTCCCTTTTCCTCTTTATATTATGCGAAAACCATTTCTTTCGTAACGATCGAAATTTACGCAACGCGTGGACGACGGTTTCGTTTGTTTTCTTCTGTCGATAGAACAAATTTTATCCAAAGAATATCAAAAAAAAGGGCCACCGGATATGAAATATGTATATGATATATTTATATAGACTTAAGTGTGTGTGAAGTGAAGGGCGGAGGAGGAGAAGGAGGAGGAGGAATGCGGCTAATTTGTATTAAAAATTATTTGTTGTTTGATAAAATATGAAGAAGATGATCTCTGCGTCTCTTTCTCAGCATCTCGTGTATGGAATTGTGCGGGTGGCTCGGATGAGAAGATGTTTGTTGATTGTATTTTTTCTTTTCGATTTACTTTTCGTACTTGAGTATTTGTGAAGAAAATAATAATAAAAGAAAACCACAAAAAAAAAAAACTTTAATTTCACCCCGTCGATTCCCACCCTTAATTCGAATATATTGATAATAATAAATTGAAGATTTGGTATATCTCTTTATTTCAACGTTCGTTCACTTAGCACAATAAATAATTAGGGTTTTCCTTTGTTAAGGGTTTTATATCATAGCAACGCGATTTGTTGCTTAGCAACTGTTGTTTGTTTGACTCGGTAACATAGCTTACAATAAATAATTGAAGGTGTGTGTGTGGGAGGGATCCTTCAGAGGTTGCTGTTCTTGTACCATTGCTGATGATGATTGTTCTTCGGTGGATCGACGAAAGGTTCGTCCTGCATGGGTAGCGTGAACTGCTGAGTATTCGAGATGGTCCGTGTCCTGCGATCCTGCTGTCTGTTGTCCCTGAACGAGTTGTACTTGTGCATCACCTCGGAGCGGACTTCGCTGTTGAGGAGGCAATAGATCAGCGCCATGAGTAGTCCCTAAAAAAAGAGGATTCGAATGAATCATTGATGACGGAATTGGGATTGTTGTGGTCTCACCTGGAACGCAGTGAAGGTTTGATCGAAGAACAGATAGACGATTTCCACGGTCTGGTTTTTGCAGAAGGATACGGCTATGGAGATGGTGAAGGGAACGCCGTAGATAAGGACCAAAGTTAACGTAGATCGGATCAATCTCCTAGGAACATAGATTTCGAAGTTGCAGCACAATAAATGTATTTTATTCACCTGTATTTGATCCTCCTTTGCTGCAGATACATAGTGTTGATTTTCAAACAGAGAACTCGGGTGATGGACAGGAACAAGAAAAAGTTCATCTGAATACATTCAAATCATTAAATTAATAAAGTTGTTAAATTATCAATATAAAACGATAATTTCATAGAGTGTATTGACACCACTTTTCCTCGTCGAATTAATGGATCAAATGAGATGAGATCAGTTGTGTGGAGGAAACGAATCGAACATTTCCAATTAACCGAACAGCACGACGCAAACTGCTATAAAAGTACTCACCAAAACAGTAAATTCCAAGGGGGCTTGGAACAACAGCGACACGTATTTGTTTTGCGATGTAGTCCAGCACATCGTGTCGTCGTAGATCTGCCGCAGCTTTATCCAAATACCAATAAAGACTAATGGAATACCTTTGAAAATAGAACAGAAATCATGCAGCGAAAATATAATTGAATTGCCTTAATCGATATGTGATGCATTCGAGATCAATAAATAACGTAACATGTCTAATTTGACAGACGATAACAATTGATTGGGGATGGTAACCTAGGCAATTATTGCGTTGATTCGAATTTTGGTAACCTAGGTTACTTATAGGATAAAACAAATTACCCCATCCAAACATATAATACAGGCGAATACTGCTCTTGTCGGAGAACAAATTGAGGAACATCAGATTGTGCAGGTAAATGCCTTCCATGAGGGTGAAAATGTAATTGGCCTGGATGAAGTAGCTTCGAAGACTGGTGATGGCCTTGCAGACCCAACTCTGCAAAACAAAACAATTGTTCAATATCACCCGTTCGCTCTGTTTAACTATACTGACGTAATGTTCCGTGGTGTATTCGACTTTGCCTTTGACCGCGACCAAATCCGACCTCAGAGCTAATCCATCGACGAACACGAACTCTTTGATGATGAACATGAGGGCCCTCATTATGAACGAGATGAAGAGATGGACGTGAAGCAGATTCCTAGCGCACTTCAGCTTCCTGAAATTTGGAACATCTTGGATGCAATTGCATTTGTTTTTTTTTTAATTGTTTCGCATACTTGATGGACGTGAAGATGATGACCGATAGGAGAAGAGTTATTAGGGAGATCCAATAGCCGACGTGCGAGATGTGCTTGATGATTGGTAGCCAAGTTTGGTAGTAGGCAAAGTCCAAGTTTATTTCGAAGTTGATGATGGCCGTCTCCGAGTCGAACATGGACAGATTGCAGAGGCTGTAATTGCTCCATGTTCTGTTCAACGTTGGATCCACGTACCAAGTGCCATCATCCTCGCACTTCTTGAAAGCATTTTCCTGAAAACAATAATTTAAAAAAAAAAAGCATGTACACTTTTGGAAAACATTGAAAGACTAAGGAAATGACCTGTCAATATTATTGAAACATCATTCACGTTCATGAAATGACCTGTCAATATTATTGAAACATCATTCATATTCGTGAAATGACCTGTCAATATTATTAAAACATCATTCCTGTTCACGAAATGACCTGTCAATATTATTAAACACATCTGTTCATGAAATGACCTGTCAATATTATTG